ATAGCGATCAATCAAAATTAAAATGCGAGCAACGCGCCGTGACATTGATTCCTCGCTCCTTCGCTCTCTTTTCATCTTCTCCATCTCGGCACTCGGTCGGTCTTTCTCCATCGTAATATTGACCTTTGGGGCAGGTTAGTTACGATACACATAAATCTGTCGTCTCGCGAACAAGGAGGAAGAACGAGCGTGTGTGTGTGTGTGTGCTCCACTAAAAAGGGAATTCCTTATTTGCATGAGATTACCGGCAGGGATCTCTGCGAAGCAGACGCGCCGAAAAATGCAGCGTATAAATAGAATCGGGGATGTCTATGCTATATTTAGATTTACATTTTTGAATCACTATTTTCGTTGGTCAATCTTTCTTTATCGACATTGTGTCTTCAAAAGGCGACAAGAATAGTCAGTAGATACTTCCGGCTCGAAGGACCAAGTGCATAACATGTTATTAAATGTTGCATTCCTAAAGAAGTTTACATCCTTTTTGCACATTTTCATCATACAATATTTTTGAATGAGTGTGTTCAAACACAAGAATCTTGTTAATAGACAAGATTCTTGTTGTTCCAAGTTCTATATATAGTCAGGTTCTTTAGTTTAGCTTGTGGGGACTGCACTCCTACTTCTGTCTGCCACAGTACACTATATAATTCATGTAAGTTTTAAGATTTTTTCGTCGAGAACAAGATTCTTCTTTAAAGTCAGGATGTTTAAGTTTCCTTCTTAAATCGACTTTTTTCTTAAGTCTTAAGTCTAGTTTGCTAATTTTATTTTGCAAAATTTTAACATAATAAACCCAGGGTTTGTAATTATTTTAAGAAAGGAAAATATTTTACCGAAATTTTTGTTAAGGTAATATGCATGATGTTAATTTCAAAGGTTACAGATTTTGTTAATGTTTAACAAATTATTTCGTTGAAAAAGTACACGTGATTTCAGGCAGCCAATCAAAACATTTCCCACTGACAATACCCATCAACAAGTTCAACTGACTTCAGCGTCTGCAACTTATGATTCTGCTTACGTTATTCTGATTCGTAACGTGTTCGTAACAACTGTCCAGTGTTTGTAATATATTACCAGAAATCTGTTATTATTGTTATTCGGATTCCTTATACCTATTTATCTAGTGTTCCAAGTATCCGAAAACTGAAATTAGGGGATACAGTGAAGCTGGTTAAAGTTAAGTAGTAGTACTGATAATTATATTGCACCAAATTTCTTCATAGTTTGATGATTTTAGAATCATGTTTTATTTAATTGTGTGTATGTTATTTTTGTGTTGATTTGTGTTGAGTTATGTAGGTATGTGTTAATTTTTTTGTTTAGGAAATTGATCAATAAAGCAACATTTCTTATTAAAATTCTTTTCATGTAAGTGTCAATTTCCAACAAATACTTTTGTTACTGGGTCTACAAAGAGGTTTTTTGAATTATTGATTTAGGATTTTGCTATTAAATGTATAAAATGTTTGTTATAATTAGTTAATAGAATACAGTTGGTTGTAAACTTAACATAAAGTTATGTGGACCTGGATTAACATAAAATCTAGTTAATATTTGGTTAAAATTAATAAATAATTTTTTACTGTGTATTAAGAATAGTTAAGTTTAGTTATTTCAGTATTATTAAATCTTTGTATTTTTATATCATCACAAGTTGCTTTTCTATTTTTAGCTGAAAAATTGATTAGATGCGATCGATATTTGTTATGCAAAAATGCTGGTAAAAGTGTTGTGCGTTAATGAATCAGTTGAAGCGTGTGCCGGCCGGCGTAGCGCGCAGGAAATAAAAATATGTAACATTTCATTCATAAATTAAATAATCGACATCCATAAAATAATAAATTAATATCAGCCGGCGATAGTTTTATGAATTTATTGAGAGGCGCGAGCGAGCGCGCGCTAACTGACATCGGTGCAGCCGGACAGAGCACACGAAATCCATTAAAAATGTAAATATAAACAACAATGAATCTTGAAAAGTTTATCTGCGCGTATTTACATAAAAACACTATTACTATAATTAATAGTATGTATCGAATGTATATGTGTTGCCGACCTGCGACAACGTAATAATCGTTGCGTCCGCTTTTGATATGACATCTTAATAGTTTTTGCGATTACAATTTTTATATTTATGTTCATTCATAAAATCACTTTTAACACTCTCCGAGTGTGTGTGTGTGTATGTGACGTCACGGCTCGCACGTACATTATTTATGTTTACGAATGTACGACACAGTAAATCACTTGATGATGCCTCTCCACTGTCATCTGCTCTACTTTATTTTATTAGTCTTATTACGATTATTATAATGGGAATTCCTTTGCGAAATATACGCAACCAAAACTGTTTACAAGTTGCTTCGATCATTTCGATTTCAAATAGTTTCATTTACTTTATACTGAAATGGTTAACTGAAATTAAGAGTATTGTATATGTATTTGTATATAGTATATGATTTTCTTATTATATTGATTGTTAAATGCTTTTTAAAAATAAGGGGTGTTACATTAATGAGTGTCATTTTAAATGTCTCTTGTGACAAGTTGTTTTTATTTGAGAAACTATAAAATAGTAAAAATTACGCATTGCATTTGTTTTCAAGTGATCTTACTGGCTGAACGCAGGTATCCTTTTTATATTTTCTTTTAAAGTTTTGTATTTTTTAGGATTTCCCATTTTGCCCTGGGGTCTCAACGTTTTTTATCCATCTAGTCCGACTCGAAGGACCAAATGTGTGCTTTATAAATTATCTTTTTAAGTTTATCGCATTTTCTTGCGAATTCTATGAGGTTCTCTAGGGCGAATTTTGTGGAGTATCGAAAATATCATCCGTATAAAAGCTTGTTGTTTTCTAGTTTTATTATTGATAAACTAAGCTATTTAAGGCTTATCCGACTCGAAGGACCAAGATTATGATTTGATAAAAAGTTAATGTGCTTTTAATTTTGCATTTTTTAGGATTTCTTATTTTGCCCTGGAGCCTGAAAGGTTTGTAATCCATCTAGTCCGACTCGAAGGACCAAGTGTGGGCTTTATTAATCATCTTTTTTGAGTTTATTGCATTTTCTTGCGAATTTGATTAGGTTCTCTAGGAAGAATTTTGTTAAAAATCAAAAATATCCGTATTAAATCTTGTTGTTTTCTAGTTTTATTATTGATAAACAGGGTATTTATACCCTCCATAGTCCATGGAGTATGGTTTCTAGTATTTGTTTCTTTAATAATAATAATTCACAAAGATTAATAATATTTATAAAGTTTACAAAGCTGTTAAAGGCTTATTCGACTTGAAGGACCAAGATTATATAATTTGTTAAAAAGTTATGTAATAAAAAAAATATATTAGGGTCTTTTTTGAACTATTTTTTTCTTTATAGATTTATTTCAAAATCTATTTTATTTAACTTAATGGACAGTTTTTTTCATTTTCATCTTCATTTGTACTCGCAATGTGTATAGTACTTGGTACAATAGTGTGTAGCACACAGTCCCACCATACGTTGTGTATATCTATCGATTGTGCGGAGCGGCGACCCAACGCTCGGCTCTCTAATAACATCGCGATCAAGCGAGCGTTGGTGGTGGTGTGCGTCTCTATGGTAACGGTGGGCGTAACGGTCCTCCTGTGTACTACACAAGAAGAGAACGACATGCGTTTGTTTCATTCAAAAAGGGGCCCTACACGATTTGACAGCGAAAATGAGCGGTAATTTTGAAATTTATGAAATTTAGAATTTTGATTTTGTTAAAAAATTGGAAAAATTAATGTTGATGATAATATATTCTATTAATACAAAAAAACATTATTAAATAATAATATTGAATATTTTAAAGGCTATTTAGACGTATCCGGCTCGAAGGACCAAGTACATACATATAAACCTAATATTACTTATTTTTAATTTGTTTTTTAAAAAATCTTATAAGATAGTAATACTAAAATGCAATGAAACATGTTGATATAAAAAAAAACGTTTAGCAGTTGCGAATTCAAACAAAATTTAGTAGGTTATGTTGTTAAGCTGCATAAAATATACTGAAGTGAGTGAACGGGATTTCTTAGAAAGCGGGACATACAACCTATACAAAAATAATAATAATACTAATACTATTAATAGTACCTATTATAGGTACTATAATAGTAAAACAAAAATACTAAAAAACTAAATTTTGCTATAAAGGGTTATTTTTAATACAAATGTACCTAATTTAAAAGTAACAAAAAATGACAAACCCATATCTATTTTTATTTATTTACAGAAACTTATATTTGTTAACTATTAGTTTTAAAAACTTGATAAAACAAAATTGCGCCCTCAAAAAAATTAAAAAAAAACTTTTCATCATTAAAACTAAAACTATGGCCAGAAGTAACAAAAAAAGTCAAAATAAGAAACTTTTTTTCGAGAAAAAAACCGAAGAAGCGTCGCGTAAACAACATTCAACGTCTAGAGAGTGGCGCCTTTTCCCCCGCCCCGCTTTGCGCCGCCACTGCCCACCGTTGCCGTCGTCTTCTCTTGAAGTACACAAGAGTAATGGCCAGCGGACCAGTGGAACACTGGCAACGCCGTGCCGCTAGCATCAAAGCGTTGCCAAAGTGACGACTCGGATTGGTCCGCTGTACATAAAACCATTTCAATGCACACTGCGATCCCGCTCGTTTCAAAACAAAACACATGCGATGATAGTGCATGTAACTAGATCGAATTTGACAGTTGTCACGTGGTGGCGGAAATTTGCGCGTTTTTCAATGAAAGTTCCCGAGAAATGCCTTCAAAGCTGTTGCTAAGGCAAGAAACAACACTTTGGAACACTATTCAAGTCAAAACTACCAGCCAAATAAAAAAATAATCAAGATATTTCAAGTTTTAACTTGAACGTGCAATTTAACATGCAAAAAATTTTACAAATTTTTTTTCGAAGTTATGTTTTTGGCGCATTTTTCGTGGTAAAAAAATAAAATGACGATGGTGTTTTTTAGCTGACTTACCTGAGTTTCAAACCACATTTTTCAGTAGTAGCCGGGGGATGTCATTGCTGCTGTTAGCAACATTTCATAGAAAAAAGCGAACTCAGTCACTGCACTAAACGCGTAGAATTTCAACGCACGTACTTCGACGTCGCAGCGTATACTGGCGAGAAACAAAACGAAATGCCAAGACCGGTTTTCGACGGTTCGGGTACAGTCGGTGGGGCGTTCGGTATCGCTCGGCCCACCTGCATAACATGCCTACTACGAAAGGTTAGGTTAGAACGACGATATTCGGTGTTTGGTAAAATTCTCTCAGAATGTAGCAACAGAACGCGTTTTAAAACTTTGAATTTTGAATGCGTTTTGTCGCCACACCAATACATCTAAACGAATTATTCTTTTTTACAAATTATCTGCTATTTTTTTGCTACCATATTATACGATTGTTTACTATACTATTGTATTGTATTTATTTCTATTTATTAAAAAGAATACGGGTTTTTTGTAGCACAAAAAAGTAAAATTGTGGTTTGACCCTTTTAAAGTCCTATAAGATAGCAATTTTACACAAATGGATATTTTTTGAGAATTTCTATTTTATTTTTAATTTTAATTGGATTATACGTATTTAGGGTTTCTATAATTAAACACTTGAGGAATTAACTTTTATTTTCACGGAAAATTATTTTTAAGGTCGTTCAATTTATTTAAAAAATCGATTAAAAAAAATTAAAAAAATAGCGAAAAAACTTAAAATTGATTTAAAATTGATACATTGGTACCCCAAGTCTAAAGTTTATAAAAATTGATGTCGCTCACATATAATACCAGTATCCCAGTGCATCCGCCAAATTTTAAACTAGATTGATTTTATTACTACATATTTAAATCTTGAGTTTTACTTTTTTATTTGTTAAGAAAATAAGAAATATGTTTTTTATAGTTTTATTAAAAGTAAAATACATATCTATAAATTGGAAAAAATCATCGGGTAAATTTTAAGAATTTTTACGTTCTTAGTTTTTGGAAAAAATGTTTAACCAACAATTTTCCAGAAGATTAAACCAAATATTACCAATTTAAGGTTATATTAATGTCAAAAATTATCTATTTATTAAAGTTATCTCACTCAAAAAGCATTATTATTTATTTACAAAATTTAATGTAGGTTGGTATACAACAATGTTTTAAACTTTAACAAAGCTTAATTTAAAGCACATTTTAGGAAACAAAGGTAGTTTTTCCAACATTATTTTACGATGGGCCTTGTATTATATTATATACATATATACAGGGTGTACTGAAAATATAAACATTTTAAGAATACGAAAATGTCGAGTAGTTTTTGAGTTATAACCGTTTAGGTTTAAACTTGACTGTTTCTGTCAAAAAAATCAAACCATTATAACTTTTTAAAACCTTTTAACTTGAAAACTAATTTTTGTACTATTTTTTTGGAGCTGCCAATTTAAAAAAAAAATGTTTTTTTTTATTTTAAGGCATTACATTCTTAAAGCAAATTAGCTAATAGTTTTTTTTATTGCTAATTTTTATATAATTTTTTTAATTCAATATTTTTTTATTTATTGTAACATTCTAAAAATAAATATAAAAATTTAAATTACAATTAAGATCTCACAAATTTAAAAATCACTGTTTTAAAATCTTATGTATGTTAAGCTATTTTAAGAAGAACTAAAAAATCATGTATATATTTTTTACATTATTATAGGTTTAGTTGGAGTTTATAAATCACTCAGTATAAAATCTAAAAACTACAAAATCATTTTTATCAAATAATTCATAAAAACCACTGTTTCTTTAATATCCTGCAAAGAAACCAAACAAAACCCGAGCAAAACAAAAGTCAAAGCAATAATAAGAAACAAAATAAATAATTTTGATAGTGCCAAGTGGCAGGTAATGTGCTCTAAACGGTTTTAATTGTCGCCGACGCCGCCGCGATGTTGTCGTACGTAGAGCAAAGAAAGAGCTGATTGTTGAAAAAAGCTGCAGGAGAAACGAAGAGAACGGACGGGCAATAACTGCAGGAACTTCGACGGGGTCCTGCTCGCTGCCACCTCTGTCTCCTGCTACGTACGTACGCAGAGGTACGATTGCAATTGTTCATTGTTTGTCTCGGCTATTTTGTTGCGTTTCTAATAATCAGGGCTGCAATGACGTTCCTACCTTTGTCACATAAAAAGAAAAAAATACGTGCTTAAAGGTCTAATTAACGACAAACTTTTTTTAAGCAATGTTTTTATATAACAACAATATTTTTGTGCATTTGCGCCTATAATTATCAAATTTTATTGTATTTTTTTTTCTTGGTCAAATTTAGTTAAACATTATGTTAATGGTATTTTGTGGATTTTTAACCCATGTATATAACGATAAAATAAGTAAAGAATAGTATATTCTGTAACAAGTTTGGAATGCGGCATATTCCGCTCGGGTGAAAAGTTTGTTACACGAGCCGAAGGCGAGTTTGACGGTTTCACGAGAGCGGAATATGCAATTCCAAACGTGTCTCAGACTATACTTTATCTACGTTTCCAAAAAATACCATAGAAAAATAATTTAATCCCAAGGGAGAAAGTGAGGTTGGATCGGTCTAAAATTTGTTAGATAAAAACACAGAGATGTCGCCACCAGTGTTTATTCCGTCATCCGATGATAGAATATTTCATTCTGTAACACTTTAAGGAATATATGTCATTCCACATTAAAATGTGATTAGAAGGGTCAAATTCCGTAATAGGAGTAGAAAATAGTTATTTATGCCATAAGGCTGAAAAGTGAGCCTTTTTGTGCTGAGCCGAATGACACAACATTTTATCTTCAAGGCACAGTTTTATTTGTTAAACAATACATAAAACATAAAAATTATTAAAAGATAAAGTGAGGTTAGATGCTTCAGAACTGTCAGTAGTTATCGAATATTTTGATTGGTTCTAACAGGTTTTTTACAGACTAGGAAGTAAAAACTTCACCTGATTGATTGACAATTATAAAGCTTAAATTATAGAACACTTAAGACATATTTTAAATGCCATTTTTATATTAAATGGAGATTTTAAGTTTGAGATAGCTATTACTAGTACCTAATTAGGTAAAATCAAAACAAAGAATAGGTGCTTAAACTTTATATAAGAATACCAATTTGTAGAAAATAAATATTGGGTATTTTTTTGACCTGAAATGGTGTCAAGTAGAAAACAAATTTTGGTTTATTTTATACAGGGTGTCCCAAAAATGGGGTGCTCACGCCAAATCACGCAAACTAATAAATACCTTTATGAAGAATCTCTAATAATTATAATTATACAGTTTTTTAAATGATTAATAATTTGAAAAACTGTATCATAACCTAAAAACTCAAATAAGGCCTCTAACCTTGACAGGTGTATTTTATAGAGCTTGTGTCAAAAAACAGAACATGAAATCATTTTAACTTTTATTTAATAAAAAAATGTTATATATTAAATAAAAAGTTAGACATTTTTAATAATATTAACAAATTAAATTAAATTCTAAAACCTTACTTCTAACTTAAAAACTACTAAATAGTAAAAAATATATAATTTTTGTAAACTCCAATAACATCCTCGGACCTCGGTTAGGCTAAATAATTGATGTTATTCTTATTTTATCAAACGGTGGAAATGATAGATTTCCCCCTTTACCAAAGTACCAACAATAATTCTTTCTCTCAGAAAAATAAATAATGGTTTTGTAAGAAAAATACGGGTTTAAAACGTTTATTTCTTAGCATACAACATCAGGAAGGAAGGACGACTTTTCAGGATGAAAGACACAAAAATTGGCTGAAATTATTTAAACGTGTGTCGAACTAAAATTTTGTTACAAGTTGAATTTATTTTTTAAACAATGATTATTCATACGTTAAAATGAACTGGATTATTTAGGATTTGTATTTTTAACATTTAACTTTTAAACTAATATACCTTATTTTTAACAGAGTTAATTTTTTAAATCCAAAAAATGCAATTATTTCTGTCAAAATTGTTATTGTTGTAAAACGCTGATTTCGTCCTGTGCATAGGATTAAAAGTTTAAAAGTATTGTAGGTAAGGCAGGCATCTACCTGCTAGCTGTTCCAGCGGGTAATTAAAAATGCGACTTCAGAATCTTTTCAGGTACATTTTGTACAGGCAGGCGAGCAGGGCCTGCTCGATTTTTCAGACAGTTGACGGTCGACCTTCTTGGAACCGGCCGACCGACTTACCACTACCGACTACCAGAGGGTCTCATTTTTTAAGTTTTCCAACATAAGTAGTGGTGGGAATAGGAAGTAGATTTTTTTTAGAGCGTTCTTGCGTGAATAAGGGTTAAGACGTATTAACATGTTCATTGGGATATTAAAAATGAGGAAGGAATAATTCGTTTTAATATTTATACAAAGGGAGTCAAATTCTTACAAAAGAAACAATTATCAATCAAACTAAACTTGTACAAATAATAATAATTCTGGAGAAATAATGGTGATACTTAATTTTTATTGTTTTGTTGAATTATTTATTTATAAAAAAAGTATGGTATAGCGCTATCTACCTATCAAGCTTATTTATAATTTTCTCCAAATTTGTTAATTAAATTATTTGAAAAAAACAATACCAAGTACCTACAATGGAATATATACAGTGTGTCTTCAAATTCCATGGATGAAATTCAGAGACACTTTCAAAGTATTACTTTGTTTTACTAGTAATATTAGCTAATATTGGTAACACTGACACAATTCCTTCACTTTGACTTACAAGTTGAATTCATCATAAATTTCCTATATATTTATTTGACAGCGCAATTTCTATGAAAATACCTATTTGATTTTTGGACAACTTCATCTGTTTTTACTGTTATTTACAGGGTGTTCAGAAACTAAACCGACAAAGAAAATTCTAGAAATTAATTTAGATCGATATGGCCATATATGGCCAAAATGTTATAACAAAATTTTATAGACCTTCGAAGATGTTTTTTTGAGATTGTTTTTTCTAAATTAAACAACTATTTTTTTTCGAGTCTCCTATAAAATATCTTAGTTAATTATATTAGAGCAAAAATCACCTTGATTAAAAAATTTTTAGTAGTCGCTCAAAAACTTTAAAAATTCCAAAATTATTCAAAATTCTAATTTT